AAAAAAAAAAAAAGAAATTTTACCAGCCAAGTTTCTGGTCTCTCTTTCTTTCTCTCCCTCTCTCTCTGTGAGTGTGTGTGTGTGTATAAATGGTAAACATCAATATTTGTTTTCTCTGCAAGAGTTTGATTGACAGAAAAAAGGATTTGTGAGACTAGTCTTAGGCTGTAGTAAATCTGGTGCACTTTGTGCTAAGAATTCATCTTTCTGTAATGGAAAGAGAGGTATCACAGGATAGAATGTGGGCTTAGGGCCCATATAAACCCGCTTTTCAAGCCAGCCCAGCAGTCTGGTCAGTTACAAACTTTACAATGGGTTCCTGAAACCAATACAGGATGAAATATCTCTGTCTTGTTTTGTATCCTTAAGAGCTTAGCCTTGTGACCATGTGAGGATATTTTCTCTTGGCTTCTGCCATCCAGAGGACAGGAATTTGGGGGTTCATGTCATAGCCCTAAAAATTATCTTGAGCAGTTAAAAGCCTTTGCAAGCTTGAAATTGGCTGCTCTAGACTTCTTCTGGGAAAAACAATGGAAACTGCTCAATGCTGTATAGCTCAGTAGCTAAGGCTTTGTCTTTTTGACAATGGCAGCCTGGATTCAATTCTTGGCTTCTGGAATAATTCATTTCTGGTTTGTTATTTGTGTAATTTTGCCGTTTATTGAGGATTTTTTATTAATCCATCGATAGCTTCTGTTCTTGTCTTGGTAAAAACAAACAAACAAGCAAACAAACAAAAAACTGCTTACCATCCCTTTGAGACACTGTATGTGTCCATGGTTAAGTCATAACCTTAGTTAAAACTTATTAATTTCACATGGGAGGTTGCCTGTGGTAAAGTTCAAAAGCCAGAAATATTGACTGACTGTCCTGGCTGGAGTCTGGTAATAAAAGTTTTTAATTTTTTTTTTTTAACAAAAGGAGCTTTGTGGTTAAAATCTTCTTAATTAAAAATGGATATCTGGCTGGGTGCAGTGGCTCACGCCTGTAATCTCAGCACTTTGGGAGGCTGAGGCGGTGGATCACTTGAGGTCGGGAGTTCGAGACCAGCCTGGCCAACATGGTGAAACCCCGTCTCTACTAAAAATACAAAAATTAGCTGTGCGTGGTGGCACATGCCCATAATCCCAGCTACTGGGGAGGCTGCAGCATGAGAATTGCTTGAACTTTGGAGACAGAGGTTGCAGTGAGCCGAGATCACACCACTGCTCTCCATCCTGGGCGGCAGAGCAAGATTCCATTCCACCCACCCCCCAAAAAAGGAACTAATTTACAAGCTATATGTATTTAAAAGGGCTTTATCTTTTTCCTCTTCTTGGATTCTGTTTTTCTGGAAAAAATGTTTTGTTCTTCTTGGTAGACTGAATTGTTATTCTCCATTTTGTCTTCTTGCCACTCTTGATGCCTGCATGAGAGAACCTAAGATAATTCTAACAGCCTGAGACTCCTGGGGAAAGCAGAGGAGGCACCACAGAGACCATTCTGGGAAAAACCTCTGTTTTCCTCACAGCAGACCAGGAAGTGAAAGAGAATAGATCCCTCTCAAAATATAAGGTTCTGTTTGTTCTGTTTTGCATTTCCTTAGTTGATGGTTTTGACTTTTGCGGGTGTCAGAAATTACTTTGCATTATGAAAGAAGCTTGGTATGTAATAACTAGGTAGGAAATAGTTTTGGGGATGGTTAATGGCAGTTAATGGGGGGGATACTTGGCTCTTTGATATTTCGATTAGAGAAGCACACTCTTGGCCACCTGGCATATATG